CTGGCACCGCGATCCTGACACACGCGGGGCAGCCGCACACCCGTGCCTCGTGCGCATCGCCGCCGCCACCGCCATCGCCACTCGCCACACCGCCACGCACCACACCACGATCGCCACACACCACACACCACACCACGACCGCACCGCCACGCACCACACCACGCACCACACCAGACACCACACCACCGCGCCACGCACCACACCACACCACACCGCCACGCACCACACCACGCACCACACCGCACCACACCACGCACCACACCACACCACGCACCACACCACGACCGCACGACGACTGCAGCACACTTCCCTGCGCCGTGCGCCGAGCGGCGCCTGGCGGCAGGGGCTGCTTCTCAGTTTTGGGGAAATGACGGAGGAGCTTGTCCTGAGCTTTCATCGCATTGTTGCACCGATGAGACCATGATTCCCTCTGAACATGGGGAGGAAAGCGCCTTGAGGATGTAAGGGTGCAGTTAAAAAAAGCCTTCAAATAAATTACGAACATTTATGTTTAACTTCTTTTGCACCGGACGTACAGTGAGGGAAAAAATAATTTGATCCCCTGCTGATTTTGTACGTTTGCCCACTGACAAAGAAATGATCAGTCTGTAATTTTAATGGGAGGTTTATTTGAACAGTGAGAGACAGAATAACAACAACAAAAATCCAGAAAAACGCATGTCAAAAATGTTATAAATTTATTTGCATTTTAATGAGGGAAATAAGTATTTGACCCCTCTGCAAAACATGACTTAGTACTTGGTGGCAAAACCCTTGTAGGCAATCACAGAGATCAGACGTTTCTTGTAGTTGGCCACCAGGTTTGCACACATCTCAGGAGGGATTTTGGCCCACTCCTCTTTGCATATCTTCTCCACGTCATTAAGGTTTCGAGGCCGACGTTTGGCAACTCGAACCTTCAGCTCCCTCCACAGATTTTCTATGGGATTAAGGTCTGGAGACTGGCTAGGCCACTCCAGGACCTTAATGTGCTTCTTCTTGAGCCAATCCTTTGTTGCCTTGGCCGTGTGTTTTGGGTCATTGTCATGCTGGAATACCCATCCACGTACCCATTTTAAATGCCCTGGCTGAGGGAAGGGTGTTCTCACCCAATATTTGACGGTACATGGCCCCGTCCATCGTCCCTTTGATGCGGTGAAGTTGTCCTGTCCCCTTGCAGAAAAACACCCCCAAAGCATATTGTTTCCACCTCCATGTTTGACGGTGGGGATGGTGTTCTTGGGGTCATAGGCAGCATTCCTCCTCCTCCAAACACGGCGAGTTTAGTCGATGCCACAGAGCTCCATTCTGGTCTCATCTAACCACAACACTTTCACCCAGTTGTCCTCTGAATCATTCAGATATTCATTGGCAAATTTCAGACGGGCATGTGTATGTGCTTTGTTGAGCAGGGGGATCTTGCGGGCGCTGCAGAATTTCAGTCCTTCACGGCGTAGTGTGTTACCAATTGTTTTCTTGGTGACTATGGTCCCAGCTGCCTTGAGATCATTATCAAGATCCTCCCGTGTAATTCTGGGCTGATTCCTCACCGTTCTCATGATCATTGCAACTCCACGAGGTGAGATCTTGCATGGAGCCCCAGGCCGAGGGAGATTGACAGTTCTTTTGCGTTTCTTCCATTTGCGAATTATCGCACCAACTGTTGTCACCTTCTCACCAAGCTGCTTGGAAATGGTCTTGTAGCCCATTCCAGCCTTGTGTAGGTCTACAATCTTGTCCCTGATATCCTGGGAAAGCTCTTTGGTCTTGGCCATGGTGGAGAGTTTGGAATCTGATTGATTGCTTCTGTGGACAGGTGTCTTTTATACAGGTTACAAGCTGAGATTAGGAGCACTCCCTTTAAGAGTGTGCTCCTAATCTCAGCTCGTTACCTGTATAAAAGACACCTGGGAGCCAGAAATCTTTCTGATTGAGAGGGGGTCAAATACTTATTTCCCTCATTAAAATGCAAATCAATTTCTAACATTTTTGACATGCGTTTTTCTGGATTTTGTTGTTATTCTGTCTCTCACTGTTCAAATAAACCTACCTTTAAAATTTAGACTGATCATTTCTTTGTCAGTGGGCAAACGTACAAAATCAGCAGGGGATCAAATACTTTTTTCCCTCACTGTAGGCAACCGTGCTAATCAGAGGCGTAGAAGGACAACAAGCTAAGCACAAAGAGCAGTTCTAAAGAGATGAGTTCTCAATCTGGATTTAATTTACGGTCAAATGAACGGCTTGCGCTTTCTCCATGTAATGTCAATTATTATTTCAATGTGTGCCGCGCTGCCACCGCACAGTATGGGCTCACTGTCGTAGAGACAGGACGTCTCCTAGGCACGAGGAGGAACCGCAACACGAGCGGCAAGGCAGCAGGGCAGTGAGCCGGCACCAACAATTGCCCAAGCTCTGCGGTCCTCTATATATTAAGGCGTTATCGGCCAATTAATGAGTGTTTGCATGTGGTGACACTGTCATTTACCCACCAGTTGTGAGTCTCACTCACAGCCACGGTCATAACGCCCGTGCGCGTACGATGTTAAGCCGTGCGGGATCTAACCTGGGTTAGCACAAACCCCGTGTCAGTAAAGATAGTGCCACATTTACGACGCTCGCGGTCAAAAATCGAAGAACCAACGTTGAATTATTGCACGAGCAACGGCGGCGTGAATGCTTAGCGTGTCTAAATGTGACCACGCGTCAATTCCGGTTCCCCCGGTCGGGTGAGAACGACCGTTTGAAACATTGCCATTTGTAATATGCAACATGCTCGCGCGTTGATTGGCGCTTTGCTGCTATTCGACGCCACGGCCCGCGATAGCCGGCACACGCCGGGGATGGAGGCAGCATCTGATGGAGGTGGCTGGTGTTGGCGTTGCTCCAAACAGCGCCCGAGAGAGAGAGAGAGACACGCGCGCTCTGAGCCCCGGTGGGAGGGGGAGCATGAGGTGGGTTATACGGTGTGAGCATTCTTCATGAGTCGTTGGCGCACCACCACCGGTGCCGTCAATAAAAATGAAGGCAAATTTTTTCGGAGTAATTCTTTATTTTCCCGCGATTCGCAACCCCCGGTCAGAAAATCTTGCGGGGTTGGTGGCGGTGGTGGTGGCGGTGGTGCATCAAAAATCAGTTCTCTTGATGTCGAAGCGGTCGGAAGACGAGTGTCAGTTCACATTTTGATTTTAGGCTGTTTTTTGAGGACCGGTGCATTATGCTGCACCGGTGTAGCGCCAATACATCCATTTACTGAACCGCAAAAAATACACAGCACGCGAAACGTACAATCGGGACATCCTGTTTGATTTCGTAAGGTTTCGGCGTCGTTCGTGTAACGTACGTTCACCTCGATTGTAAGGATCGCAGATTGGGTGTTGCGTTTGAAAAATCCATGCATAATTAAATTTGCACAGCTGCAGAAAAGTACCGAGCTGTGGCAAGCGCCGCACGTTGACTTGGCCCTTAACTTCTTGCCGCGTATACGCTGTGCCGCTGAGCCACCGTCGGTAATATCTCAAAGCTTACGGGGTGGGGGGGGGGGTGAAGGGCGCCTTTGGACCAGGTCCATGGCATGCCGGAATTGGCACAACGTCGGTGCATTTACTGCGTTCCACGAAAACACCCGTGGCACGGGCTCTTATGTTTCCATTCCCTCTTAGTGACCTATAAATATGATTTACCTCCTTTGAATTTCAATTAAATTTCTGGGAAATGTTCACTTGAGAAAAAAGAAGAACAAATTCTTTCCCCCACCCCACCCCCCATTTTTCCTGTGTTTCAAGTACGTACGTACGTCAGACTTCTTGATTTGAAGCTTTCGTGACTGCAAGGATCCACACTCTTTGGTTCTATTCGGTAAAGTCACGTAGGTTAAAATACAATAACACTCCAACGCTGTCCTCCAGACAGTCTCGTCCCTTCACCCGATGAAGGCCACTTGTGTTGTGGCCGGAAACGTCGTGATTTTTGTTATTTTACTTTTACCTACGTGACTTTACCGAATAGAACCAAAGAGTATGTCGAACTTCTTGCTAGTCGCACGTAGCCAGCAGTGATTATTGGAGGTATGGGGAGAGCTGTTGCAACGCCGCCGTTCGCTGCCATCCGCGAGCTTCCTTACAATCTGGCGCGTCGTGAATCGGCCCAGTCCGCCCGCCGAGGGAGGCTCGGGAAGAGCCCTGCACTTGAATCAATTGCCATTTGTGATGTTGGCGCGCGTTCGTTGTTTTGCGATTCGCCTCGCGTGATTCCTGTCGACCATCGGGAGCGCGCGCACTTGAACTGCACAGCCGCCGCGCGATCCCCGCTCCGCTGCCACTCACTTTTGAAAGCGTCGCGCGCACCGCGTCTTGCTCACGCGCACGGAGAAGTGAAAGCACAGCGAGCGCCGTGTGAGTGGGACATTTTTTTATTTTTACGTCGTTTTAATTTCACGCGCAGTCGCCGGCGAACCGCGGACGAGCGGGGAAGGCGGCAGCCGGGCGGCGTGCCGGCGCTACCAGCATTCGCTCCTAGCTCTGCAGTCCTCTGTATATTAAGATATTTTCAGACAATTAAGGAGTGTTCGTGCATGTGGGAGGAAACGGGAGCACCCCGAGGAAAGGTCACGTGTGGCAGGGGACAAAGCTGCCTCCCGTACAAAACGGGGCATATTGTTTCCCTCCACACGGAACCGTCTTCTCCTGGCGAGCCAGAGTATGGCGTCTCCTCGACGCTCACGGCTTGGGAGTTTTCTTGCGACGTTTGTGCGATCCACCAACCCTCGCTGCTGCCTCCACGTTGCCGGATCACAGGCCGCGTGCGTCGGCCTCCGCCTGCCTCGACGTCCGTTCACGCGTCGAGTCAAATTTACGGCGGCCAAGGCGCGAATGCCGGAGCGCCGCAATGCAAGCCCTTCGCGGCGTGCCCACCTTCACTGCCGTCGCATTGCCGGGTCCGCGTCGCTCAGCGACGGTGTCGCGCGCGTGTGCGTGCGTGTGTGTGTGTGACGCGCGCAGACGAGCGCGAGGAGGTGCAGAAGAAGACCTTCACCAAGTGGGTGAACTCGCACCTGTCGCGCGTCTCCTGCCGCATCGGCGACCTCTACGCCGACCTGCGCGACGGGCGAATGCTCATCAAGCTGCTCGAGGTCCTCTCCGGCGAGCGCCTGGTCAGTCGGCTCCCGTCGGCTCCTTCCCCTCGCGCCGTCGTTGGTCTGCGTCCCCCCCAGAGGGGGGTACGTCGCACACACACACACACGTCTGTGCGACGCTTTAGACGCGCGTGTGTGCGACTCGCGAGCCGGCAGGCTCGGTGAGTGTGCATTTACTTATCTCTTAATCAGGTTCACCTCTCGGCATCCCTTACACATGTTCAACCATGTAGAAGAAATGTCTATGCCACCTTTTTGACGACAGTATCAAGAATGATGAAAGGCACGAACCACACACAGTACTTGTGGTGAACATGCAAACAAACACACTCTGATAATATGATGGGCATTGCCCTTGAAGCTGATTGGCCTACACCAGAGACAGCAGCCTTCTTTATGGCCTTGTGTCAGACCGGAGAACGCCAGGAAGGGAACAGTACAAAGGCAATGCCACACGTATCGGAGCATTTATCGCTCGGGGGGCGGTGGGGGGTTGAGCGGCTCTTCTTATTTTACAAACTCACGAGTAACATCTTCACGCAACATCCAGGGCTAGGGCAGCAATCGGTGTTCGTGGAAGAAAGGAACAAAAAGTTAAAAGTGCGCAAAGGAAGCACGGGGAGGTCCGTCCGTTGAAGGACACCGGGAGACAGGAAGAGGATTAAAGATGTGACGCGCAGGTCGGAGGCTTCGTATTCATCCGTTAGGAGGAGCGAGTGGCCTTGGGCGTGCCGCGCCGCTCGCAGGGACCATGGCCCTGGGCCGAGACCGACGGCGGAGCGGCAGCCGTGGGGGAGGGGAAGGCGCTCGAGTGAGAGATGGGGAAGCGGTGACTCATCATGACCAATGTCGATGATAATTTTAGGTGTTTCTCACGTGGCAGGAATGATCGCAAGCACTGTTGGGATGTGCAGATTGTACGGCGCACTGCAACGCAAAGCAAGTTCACTGTGGCCTCTGCTATTGCTACGCAGCGACGCTCTGCGCCACAGCTTGGCTTCTTCATTTCTGCCTGACGGCCCCGTCAGCTGCCTGCAGGGCACACCGGGTCGCCTTCATATCCGACAGCCAAAGTCTAAGACAAATATCTCCCATGTAGCCTTTAACAGACTGTTGGGGCAAGCACTGTTAGCATGCCAACCCCTTATCAGTGCCCTACCTTATTACAGACCAATTCAGACCTTAGTGGTCACTCCTGGCCCTTATAAATCTCAATGCTCATCCTAAAGTCCCATCGTAATGGAGAAACACAAACAGAAAGACACGTTTTTGCCCGTATTGAAACGGCTGTACGCCGTCTGCACCTGAAAACTCAATTTCCCTGTACAGGAATACGGGTAAACTGTATGGGTTGACAGGTTTGTGTTAGCTTGTGGCACCTATGCAGGCCGGTACAGCACACGAGGGGGTGGGTGGGTGGCCAGCATCACGCCCGGCCGCCTTTGTCTCCCTCGTGGCGAAGTTTAGTTTACACATCGCACCAGGTACTCATTTGAGTTTGAGTCGGCCGAGGGGATGCCCAGGACCGGTTCCGATAATCGTCACTGGTGTCCACCGTGAGCGGTGATCCAACTATGGTTTCCGGGTTCGTAACACAGTGCGCTAACCGCTCTGCCACCGCTCTCCATATGCACACATGCGCGCACGCAAACCGTATATACACGCACGCATGCACACACAAATGTATACAACACGCACGTACATGCACACAAACAGATCCAAAGACATAGCATACACAAACGCGCGCGCATGCACACACACAGGCACACAACCATGTGTACATGCGCGCACATACAATGCGGATATGCACACACGCACGCACGTGCGCACGTACGCAAACACACACCGGCACGCAGGCTGCACAAAGGCCTCTTGTTTCATTGTACATTCCCTGCCGCGTTTAACTTTGCAAATATGAGTTACAGCGTCCAGTACATAAAGAGCCTTTTCAGGATTGCATTCTCTGCGCGAGGGTTTTTGTGGAACTGGAGCGCTTCCTGGTGCTGCGCTTCGCGACAGCCTGCGGTTGACATTTCGGATGTTCGCATGAGCACAGCAGTACGGTCCCAGTAAACGTCACAGCGTTGGGTCAACCTTGTCACGTTTACCAGGGTGCAACCCATTAAAACCCATACAAAAGAGCCGTGCGTCGTGCTGTAATGCGCCAACGCTCCACAAAAAACCCACGGGACAAATAGACTCGCGCGACCTTCACGGTTGCAGAAGGATCCATTGTGAGGTCGTAGGTCGAGGGTGTTCAGCTGACATTGGGACAGTTTGCGATCTGAAGCCGCAGTTGCGAGCCCCACGTCCCCTCTGGGGGCACCGCGGGGGCGACATGTTAACTACCTCGCCCGGTATACAGGAGGTCGTGGCTTCAAACACCTGCTGTATATTTGGAGTTTGCATGGTTCTCTCCGTGGTTGCGTAGATTTTTTCACGGGTCCTCTGGTTTTCCCCTCCACATTTAGAATCAACGTCACGCGTTTAGAGTATTTAGCTGCTATACGATTTCCACGTGAGAAGCCACTTCATTGAGCTATGATTTGTGATAGCCAGTTCGCTTCTGAAAAAAGCTACATAGCTCAGTGGGCCTTACTTGGTGAAATAAAACATAGTTCATAGTTTTAAATGTTTTTTTATCGATGAAATTTGTACCATATTTTGTATTACACGACCAACAGTGGTGCTGCTGGGAGTTGTCACGTTGATGCTTCAATGAACCTTTTATAGGCAAAACAACACGTTTAGAAAAACAATATATATATACATATATAACAACAGAGGTTATATTTTTTTAATGCATCTGACACTGGGAAAGAAAGGAAGATCTTGGACGTGTGGGCCGACTGGCCTACTTTTTGGGGAAGACAGGTAGTCCTCGATTAACACAATAGATGCAATCTTGAAAATATTCATGTAAAAGTGAAATGGTGTTAACCGAACACTCATTTCCCATAAGAAATCATGTAAATAGGGGGGGGGGGGCGGGTGCGTTCCAAGCTCCCAACTCGATTGACAAGTATATAATTATTCTTCTTTGGTTCTTTCGGTAAAGTCACGTAGAATGATAATAAAATAATAAAATAACACAACACAATAAAATTCTCACGACGTTTCGGCCACAACACAAGCGAGAATTTTATCGAGTTATTTTATTTCATTATTTCATTATTTTATTCTCATTCTACGCGACCTTACCGAAAGAACCAAAGCAGATGAATCCTTGCAGTCACGAAAGCTTTAAATCGATGTATAATTATTACTCGTCTATTATGGCTATGCTTTGGTTAACACTTTTTTTTTATTGTTGCCTTTTTATGCATGAACAACGCTTAAAGGGAAAACGGACAATGTATAAAACGTAACCTAAAGTAAAGGACAACCGTTGCCTGCGCGTGCGAGCTGCGACGAATTTGTCCCCCGAGGCGTCGCGTTCCAAAAGCGAGGCGTCTTGTCGTGCGCAGCCGAAACCCACGAAGGGCAAGATGCGGATCCACTGCCTGGAGAACGTGGAGAAGGCCCTGCAGTTCCTCAAGGAGCAGCGCGTCCACCTCGAGAACATGGGCTCCCACGACATCGTCGACGGCAACCACCGCCTCACGCTCGGCCTCATCTGGACCATCATCCTCCGCTTCCAGGTGGGACCCCGCCGACTCGCAACATCGGAGGTTCATTAGTGCGTAGTAGTCGTAGTAGTAAGAATCGGGGCTTTCACCACCAATGTAATCCATAATAAGGTGGGGGCGGGGGGGGGGGGGGGGGGGGGGAGTTTGTTGGGTTGGATCGCAAAAATGTATGAATGCGCGTCGTTAAAACGTGCCACCAAATTCGTAAGGCTTGTCACGTAAAAAAAAACGTCCCAATTCGTAACTGGTAACTTGTCACAGAAACGCAACATGCCAATTAGTTACTACAATTAGTTACATACTTGCATACCAATTAGTTATCCTGACAAGGCTCTTTATGTACTGGACGCTGTAACTCATATTTGCCAAGTTGACTGCGGCAGGGAAAGTACGATGAAACAAGATGCCTTTGTACAGCCTGCGTGCTGGTGTGTGTTTGCCTACGTGTTTACGTACGTGTGTGCATACCCGCAGTGTTACTAGTAACTAAGAGTGTTGCTTAGTAACTGTAAGTTACTCGTGACTAAATTGGCATGTTTTGTTTACGTGACAAACATTTCTAAGTGGCCGTGTTGGGCGGTGGCGGGTTTAACGACACATTTACATTCACGTGATCTAACCCCCCCCCCCCCCAAAAAAAAACCCCCCTCTGTTATGAAGTTTATTACTCGAGTATTTAGCCCGGCCAGCAGGAGCGTGACTCCGCACTCCCTGCGTTCCCAGACGCCTCTGCTGCTGCGACAGCTGCTGCTGCTGCTCTTGCGAGCCGTGTGCGTTTTGTGGGAACAGCGCGAAGCACGTGCGGTGAAGTGCTGTGGAAGCTCAACACACCCGGCCGGCACGGAAGAGTAGGCCAAACGCCATCTCAAAGGCTCTCTCTCTCTTTGGAGCTCGTGTTCCCTTCCACTGACGGTGGTGTGAGCGAGCCGTTGCAGGGCTGCCTTTTAAAAAGCTTTACAACCTTTACCTTTGAAAAGCTTTATAGCTCATCGGATTCCTCCAGTGTAAATGCATATTGTGACGCCTGCTGTATATTTTGAGTTTGCGTGTCTCTGTCTCCGTGGTCGCATTTTTTTTTCCCTCCGGGTCCTCCGGTTTTGTCCCTCGTCATTTAGAATCGACATCGCACGTTTCGAGGATTTGGCTGATCAAAAATGTCCACGCGACAAGCCACTCTGTGAATGAAAACAAATATTTCTTCATAAGAATTGGGTGTACACTTTTTCTGTCAATGTCCGGTGTTTTAAAGTCACACAAAAAAAGGGACGTAGCGTGGAACAGAGGCGTCCATTGTTTTAGCATCAAGGGGGTAGATTGAGAAAGATCGTGAGAGCTGCGGTGACAGAGACGTCGCACCGCACAGTATGTGCAGCGAAGAGACATTTTCAGGAGTGATTTGCCATGGGGAGATGAGAGAGCTCTATTCGGAAGAGAAATGCGAGATCGATAGTCGGTATATTACACGAAAATGGATGGATCGATACAAGAGAGATGAACGCCGAGGAGAGGGCGGTGAGAGGCGCCAACAGGGGAGCGGCACAAGCTAATTGATGTTTGTTGGAGCCATCGAACAAACACGGTCACTGCATCGCGCGGCGCTTTCACATGCGGTTCTGCGGTCGTCGATATTAGGAAGCCACTGCAGCTAGGCACTGTTAATTCAAGATTGAAAACTCACTTCTTTAGAACTGCTTTTTGCGTTAGGTTTGTCCTTCACCCCGCTCCTCTGATTAGCACGGTTGGCTACGCGCGGTGTGAAAGAAGTTCAACATACATACGTACAGAAGGGGAGATGTGAGTGAGATAGGAGAGAGACGCGTTTCAGGAGAGAGGCAAAGGGAGAGAGAGAGACATGGAGACATACACTGGGAAAGACAGAGGCACGTGGAGAGATGCGGAGATAGGAGAGAGATGAGAGAAAGGGGACATAGAGGAGAGAGATGTGCAGCCAGATTCTCAATGTTCACTCTGCCAGGCCCAGACCCCAAACATCACCGCGGGGCGCACGCGCGGTGACTCAGACAGATCACGGAATCGTCTCACATGGCCCTGTGAGATGATGAACTTCATACCTTTCAATTTTAAAGCCGTGGCGAGTCATTCCTCACTTGCGTGTTTGAGTGACGGGGTGGGAGATGAGCCGGCGTCACCGCCCCTGCCGCCGCCGGTCGTCACGTTTGGCCCCCGGGGGGGGGGCACCGTTGCCCGGATGGCCCCGGTGGAGGTGAGAGGCCGATCTGGTGGTAACCGACCGAGAGAGGACGATACCGGCAATGAGAACAATCCTTTTATGCCACTGGCCGTGCCACTCTATTTGAATATTACTATTTTTATTTTACCAGGGAAGTCCCACTGAGCTAAATCTTGACTTGAGGCTTTCATGACTGCAGGAATCCATATTCTTTGGGTCTTTCGGTAAAGTCACGTAGAACTATTTTTTTTTTACAAAAAACTACGGCGTTTCGATCGCAACACAAGCAATCGTCATCAGGAGAAAAAAAGAGAGCTCTTTTTTTTGCCACCGCGACGCCCTTACTCAACCACGCCGCACGTGGCACCGCGGCCAGGACGCGACAGACAACAACCTGTGAGGAACAGGAGGAAGTGTCTCCGTTGGGGGGGAGGGGGCGGTGGGAGCATTGGGGGGTGTACATCTCCCACGCTGAGGAGCTGTTTGCTGCCATATAGCCCTGGATCTTGTGTCAATATGTTACTCGCGAGTATGAACAATAAGAAGGGGTTTCGCCCCTTCTGACAATAAAACAAAATAGCTGCTCAACCCCCGCGCTATAAATGCTCCGATACGTGCATTGTCCTTGTACTGTTCGCCTGTTGGCGTTCTCTGGGCTGACACTGGTGGTGAAACTAGGCCATAGCGAAAGCTGTCTCTGGTGTAGGCCATTCAGTTTCAAAGACAATGCAAATATAATTATCAGAGCGAGTTTGTTTGCATGTTTTGCCACAAGTACTGTGTGTGGTTAATGCAGACTTTATTCCTTGCAAAAGGTTTCTATTTGGTGGTGTTTGAACATATTTACACAGCTCCTGTTTGATTTCCAAAAGGGTAAAACCTCTTCTTGTTTTCCATACTTTTATTCTGGCAACAAACGGTTCGCTAGATATGTTACTCGCTTCCCTCCAATCCCTCCAATTTCGATGAAAAACTAAATCAATCGGTATCTATAATATTTCCCTCGTGACAACTTGATTCGATTGGCTGTCGGGTGGTGGATGGTTATTCAACCGACACGCTCGAACCAAAAAATAAACGAATTAAGAATCTTGATTTAAAGCTTTCGTGACTGCAGTGATTCATATTCTTGGTTCTTTCGGTAAAGTCACGTTGAAGGGAAACTATAAAATAATAAAATATATAATATATGTTTATTATGTTATTGTTTCCCTTCAACGTGACTTTACCGAAAGAACCAAGAATATGAATTCAGAATCGTCCGTAACATTTGTCGTGAGAGCCCACGCTAGGAAGGGAGCTCCAGCGCTCATTTCTCCGTCTCCCGCTGGGTTCACGCTCAAGATTTTTTGAGGCTGCGCCGACCACGCGGTCACAGCGGGGTCACAGCGGGGTCACCTGGGCCGCAGGCGCGGGGGAGTGCAGCAGCTTCCGGCCGTCTGAAGAGAATGATGGGAGCCTTCGCTGGGGAGCTGCGAGGTCGTGGGGAGGAGATAGAGAGAGGGGAGCAGGGGGAGGGGGGAGCCCTGCCAGATGTCTGGTTCCACTGGGGGTGGGTTGGTGGGTTGGTGGGTGTGGGTGAGTCGGTGGGGAGCGGCGGTGCAGCGGTTTGCACGTTCGATTCCCGCTCACGGCCAACACCAGTGACGATTATTTGAACCGGTCCTGGGCCTCCACTACATCGACTTAGCCTCAAATGAGTACCTGGTGCGGTGTGTGAACATCGCTACTGGGGAGACAAAGGCGGCCGGGCGTGGTTTTGGCCATCCACCCCCTCGTGCGCCGTGTCAGCCTTCATAGGTGCTCGCTTACAGCGCTTGCCCCAATGTCTGTTAAGGCTATACGGGGATCTTTGTCTTTGCGGGTGGGAGGGTGACTGGCTGCCCCTGTAAGGCAGCACAGCATTCATCCTTTGTGAATTGCAAATAACGCTGCGTCCGTGCCATGCTTTACACACAGCGTTGTGAAACGCACATGTTGTTATAAAACACATTAGCTTGTCGGAACATCACCGGCCTTTCTAGGTATCTTTGTCATCCCCTCTCCTAAATTCAACGCTTATATTTTTACACCTTGAAAAGTACACGTGGTGTGCAACATTTGACCGGGAGCATCCATAGCAGGTACAGGAAGCCAGCGAATTAAGTGCAAAAGCAATTTGAACCGTTGCAATTAGCTGGGAGGAATATCTGTTGCAAAGTTATTGATGAACATCATGGACAGAGCTAAACGTATGCATGCATGTATGTTGAACTTCTATGTGCACGGTACGCAGCCAACCGTACTCATCGGAGGTATGGGGAAAGGACAACAGACTATGCAATGAAATGAAGGCCAAGTGATTGTAGACATTTTTGAGACAGGACTCCGGGCACATAGAGAGAGATGTGCGACAAGCAATGTTGAAGTCCTGGGGTGACACTCGACACCTACGGTTCCCGGGGACGTTAAAGGCTCCGTGTCACACGTGTGAGAACACGTCCAGCAGGCTCCGCTCATACCCAAGCACTGCGCATCAGCGATCAAAGCCTCCCCCGTCTGCTGTGGACTGACAGGAGCCCATTGAGATGGCACGGCTCTTTTTATAGATAAACATTCTGACACGTAGCAGCAGGCTTTCACGACCAATAATAATATCCATAATAAGAGTTATTTTGCGTTATATCGAGTAAATATAAATGTCTCGTTAAACCCGCCACCGACCGACACAGCTAATTAGTAAGTCCCGATGAAGCGAATTTCCCCCCGTGAAGCTGGATTTAATTACCAGCGAAACGTCGTACTCAAACTGTAAATGTTGTGGGTTTACTCTCCAACACAC